CAGGAGATGCCCAGGTAGTACGGTCAGCCTCTCCTCTTTTCTTCACTTAGTCCTGCTACAATTTCCTGCACTGGCCTCTCAGCTCACCTGGTCCCCCGAGCCTCCTGGTCACCCAGCCCATCTTGTGGTCATGGAGCTCTTCTAAAGCACACTGGGACCTCAGCATCCACGTGCTACAAAGCCACCCTCCAAACAGCTTTCAAGATGAAGTTCAGATTGCTCAGCACCCAAGACACCACACCCTCAAGAACTTCCCCACCCACAGGACCTTAACCTTGACTGTAGTGCAAGCAACTACTGTAAAAACCCTGCTTGCTTTACACTTTTTCAAGCCTTCTAGACTCCAAACATAATATTTATGTATTATTCTAATTTTTAAGTTGTGAAAAAGAAAGRAAAAAAAACCCACAACCCTGAAGGTGCATGAAGAACCAAGTTTTCTCACACCTTTTACAATAAGACAGTCAAGTATTTCAGAACCAGATGAGATTTTTCCCTGGTKTTGTAAGTTGATGATCAGATCCTACCCTTGACTCCTTGGCCTTTCTAMAACTGAGAAGTCTCACTTTTAAACTGTTTGTTTTCCTTGCACCTAAAACTATTTGATTCATTGGCTGATGGTTCTACTCAGCCATGTCTCATAAAATCAAGAAAGAAATGGGTCTTCCTTATCCTTATAATCCACTGGCTATGACCACTCCCCGCCACAGCCAGATCATCTCTCCCTGATCAGGCTGGCTAGTGGAAGGGAATTAGGCCCAGCACCCTGGTCTCCCTGTGCAGACTCCTCCAAACCAAAAAGCATCCAGGGCTTACAGAGGTCGTTGGCATGCAGAGCTTGTCTGTCCCATGAGAATGTGTGTTCTTTGAGAGGAGAGGCTCACTTTTGATTCTTCCTATATTAGTAGAGCCCTGAACAGAGTCTGGACGATGAAAGAGATTGCAACAGTATTTGCTGAATGATAGGATGAATGAATGGATAAATAACCAAACAGGCACGCTCTCTGAAGTAGAAGGAGCAATACACAACATAGTTAGTTCACTCTTATTATAGAAATGCTGTTTTGCTAAGAATGTCATTTGTTCACTTTTTAGGCAATCCCAACACATACTTTAAAGTTGCTTTTGGGAGTAAATCCTGGAGATTAGATATTTACTTACTTGTATGTATCTTTCTAAGAGTACTAAGCATTGAATAAATATTGCTTTTAGKATTCTCCAGAAAATYACTTAACCATATCCACAACTATGGCTTTTTTTTTTTTCCTCCTTTTCCTTTCTCAAACAAAACTTGGATGTTTACTTTGAAGGGACCTGGGAATCTGCCGCTGCAAGGGCAGTCAGACCTGGAATTACGGGTCATGTCGGTGCTGCAGTTCAGACCCACACAGAGCCTGTACTACACACTCTCTGGAAATGCAGGTCCAGAAAAGGCTGACCAGGAAGGGCCAAAGGAAGTAGCATGCAAGTTCTAGAAAGATCAGGTGTTCCTGATGTGGATGATCATGAGCATGGGTATAGCCTCCACTCAGTTGCATATCCTAAAATTAGGTATCTTTACGTGTCCCTTTTTCCTGAGGATTTGGAATACTGAGTCATTAGCATTTCCTGACACTTAGGGTAAGGAGCTATGCTATGTCCTCTATGAAAGTTAGCAGTTAATCCTCAAAGTGACTTGGGGGAGCAGGGAATCAGGGATTGAACCCAGGGGTCCTCTATCATTGAGCTATATCCCGAGTCCTTTTAATTTCGAGATAGGGTCTCACTAAGTTGCCCAAGCTGGCCTTGAACTTGTGATCCTCCTGCCTCAGCCTCATGAGGAGATAAAACTACAAGAATGTCTCAAGGTGATTATGAAACTATTTACCACTAACATGATATGGACATAGAAATTGAGACAAAAGAGTAATTAAATAACTAGGTTCAGGTAATAAGTGACTATGTTATGGTTTAGATACTGGGTGTCCCCCACAAGTTCATGACTGAGACAATGCAAGAAAGTTTAGAGAGATAAAATGATTGGGTTAATAAAAAGGTTTAAACTAATCAGTGCATTGATTTCCCCTGACAGGATTAACTATGTGGGAATCACAGGCAGTAGGGTGTGGCTGGAGGAGGTAGGTCCATGGAGGCAAGCCTTTGGGCTATATATTTTGTCTTATTGAGCACAGCTCTCTCTCTCCTTCCGGGTGTGATGTTGAGCTGCTTCCCTCCACCAACTCTTCCACCATGATGTTCGGTGTGGCCTCAGGCCCTAAGGAATTGAGCCTGATGTTGATGGACCTCTGAAACCCTGAGCCCCCAAATAAACTTTTCCTACTTAAAATTGTTCTTGTCAGGTCTTTTGGTCATGGCAGTGAACAAGTTGACTAAAACAGTAACACATCTGGGAACTCAACAGACTGAACCTGTCTCCTAAATTTTGGTTTCTTACTTGGTCAATTTTTTGCAATAATGAATCTGAGAAGCTACATACAATGCTTATTAAAATACATATGTATGAAATTATATTTGCCAAGTTGTTATATTGTGTGCATGTTTGAATGTGTAACAACAAATTCCATCGTTATGTACAACTATAATGTACCAATAAAAAAATGTGGGGAAAAAGGGAATTAGACCAAGAATTAGTCTGTTGGAGCATGAATAAATATTGCTTTTAGGATTCCCCCTACTTTTCCATTCTCTGACTCCAACACACACTGTTTTACTATCATCACCTACTATGAATCTTTCCTCCCTTCTCCACCCAAACCTTACATAGAGCAAATCTCTTTAATTCAAGTTTACCCATCTCTGCTGTCAGCAGGTGCCATCAATTAAATTGTGTCCATTTACTTTTTCCAAAAGGCATCACTTTGCTCTCTTCTATAAAGATCCTTCTTCCTTCCTATAGATAAATTACTGGCTCACATATCATGACTCAAATTACACTCACAAATGTTCATTTGCAGTAATTATTCTTCCTAATTGGAATGCTCTGAAGACAAATGAGTTCCCCTCCTTTCCTACAACTCACAATGTCTTTTTCCTGGTATAAAATGTTTGCTGCACCTGCTGCAAACCATAACAGGTATGCTGTTTGCTCTCTGTGCAACCACATAGGGAATAACACTAGAATACTATTTTAAGATAGTATTTTATCTGGTATTACTTCAAGCCCTTTAAATGTCTCATTAGCATCAGATTTTGAAATGGACAAGCCTATTACTCCAATAGCAAAAAAAAAAAAAATCTCAATTTTATTTATCTTATTTTTAAAACATTTAATCTTCCCATTAACATGGGTTATGGTTTAGATATGAGGTATCCCTCAAAAGCTCATGAGACAATATTAGAATATTCAGAGATGAAATGATTGGGTTATGAGCCCCTTAACCTAATCAGTCTATTAGTCCACTGATAGGGATTAAGTAGGTGGTAACAATAGTCAGGTAAGGTGTGGCTGGAGGAGGTGGGTCACTGGGTGCATGCCTATAAAGTACATATTTGTTGCTGGTGCGTGGAATCTCTCTCTTTGCTTCCGGATTTCATGTCCTGAGCCGCTTCCCTCCTTCACATTCTGCTGCGTTGATGTTCTGCCTCACCTTGAGCCCAGAGCAATGGAGTCCTCCTGTATGAACTGAGACCTTTCAGACCCTGAGCCCCAAATACAATTTCCCCCTCTAAAATTGTTCTTGTCAGGTCTTTCAGTCACAGCGATGAAAAAGCTGATTAAAACAAGATGTGTTCTCTCTCTCTTAAATTTAAAGGGGTTAGCCTTTAAAAGAGAACCAAAAAGGAAAGAATCAGGAATACCAAGAAAAGTCACCAAAGAAATGAGCCTGCGACCCCTCTTCAACCTGGCAGGATAGAGCTCTCAGGCCAGTAAGGCAAATGCAACAAGTGCAGATTATAAACATCACATCCAATAACCCTGGTTACTCTATGGCTCCCCACCACCACCACCTTTCCACTCTCTGACTCCAACACACACTTGCCTACGGTGGTTCTACTTCTCTGTGTGGATCACCGAGGGTAACCTACAGGCACAAGCACAATCACAGCAGAGAAAACGGGAACTACAGGAAATGGCCCGGTAGGAGTGAGGACCAGGACAGATGATAAATTCGTCCTTACTCTGACTTTCACCAAACTCATGACTCTCCTGAAATAATGAAAAAGTTGAACCGGACTGAAGAAAACCCTTCCGTTTTTCTCAGTTCAGACCACTGGATCTCTAAATGGAAGAGAAAAGAAAGTCAGACAGACACAGACACACAGACACAGACACAGACACACACACACACACACACACACACACACACACACAAAAGAAAACTGCCTGGAAACTCACAGAATCTCTCGCAGCCCTTCACCCATCCCCGGGGCCCAACCCACCCATCCCAGATGTGGTCTTCCCCACTCTCCGCCCACCTCCTCCAGCCCGCACCCCCAATCACTGCGCTGCCCACAAAAATGCAGCCTAGATCAGAGAAGCAGCTGACGTCTGTGGCCGGCGAGACCCACACGCCACAGACCAGGCCCGGCGGGGACGACCACGGGACGGCCCCAGGGCGCGGTGCCAGGCGCGCCCCAGCCCGGCGCCAAGCTGCGCCCAGGACCCGAGAGCCACCAGCCCCGCAGTCGCCGCCGGTCGAAGCCCGCCAGCGGCGGCGGTAGAGCTGGGCTCGCGCCGGCTTGCTGGGAAGACACCGTTCCAGGAACAACTTTTTCCACTTCTGCGGCCGGCAGCTGTGGCACGGAGAGAAGCAACGGCTCCCTTCCCATTTTGGCATCCGACACCCGTCCCGCTGCACCTCCAGAGGGTGGGAAGACGAACCCCTTCCCGCCCGGCGGGCTCCCGGGGCGCAAAGCGAAGTTCCCGCGCCCGCCGCGGTGCTCGCAGCCCGGGCTCTGCCGGCCGCGACGGCTCCGCGTGCGCCGCCCGGCGCCCACCTGGCCAGGCTTCGGGCTCTCCCCTCTCGTGGCGCGCGCGGGGCCCGGCGTCTCCAACTCACCCGGCCTCAGCGCAGAGTCTCGAGCTCAGAGCCCGCAGCCTTCCCCTAGCAGGGGCTTTCCGTTACGCCTCCTCGCTGCCACCTCTCTCGAGCCCCGGCYGGCCGCTCGGGAAAGGAGGAGGAGGGAGGAGAGCGGAGGAGGCGGGAGAGGAGGGGGCGAAGGCGGGGAGGGAGAGGGTCCGTGGCGTGGGGGAGGAGGCGGCGAGGCGAGAGCGCCGTGCAGGGCCGCCGCCGCCGCCGGGGCTAGCACGACAGGGGGAGGAGGAGGGGCGGGGGCAGCGAGAGAAAGAGGTAGCCGAGCCTCCCAGCCCTGGGCCCGGCCCCGCGCCGCTGCCCAGTCACCATCGCCGCTGAAGTCCCGCTCGCTGGCCCGGCGTCTGGGGGAGGGGTCGGGGCCCGGGGCTCTCCCGACGCGGGCGCGGGGCGGGGCGGGGGCGGCCGACGGGCGGGCGAGCAGCCGAGGCCCGGCCTCCGTGGGGGAGTGTCCTGCGAGGCCCGGGAGGGTGTTGGCGACAGGGGATCCCCAGGAGGAGGGGCTGGGGAGCGGGGGCCTGGGAGCGGTCACTGCGCCGGCCGGGCGGCAGCGGCGCCTCTGGGGTCGTGCGAGAGTCCCCTGAGCCAGGCCGGGGAACCTCTGGGGGCAGTTTTGAGAAACCGTCCCACGAGCGCCCGGAGTGCGCACGACTGGGCTCCAGAGGCGGGGAGCGGCGCGATCGCAGCCCTGGGTGAGAGGGCCGCTCCTGGTGCCGAAAGCGGGCCCTTGGGCGCAGGGAGCAATTCCCCCGACCCCGGCCAGACCGCCAAAGCGTCAGTCCAGGGGCCCCGGGAATCCGAAGTGGAAAAGTGGGCTGGGGTCCGTTGTCTTCTGCAGAGGAAGATCCACTAAAATGTTTCCGTGTCCTGAGGCTCTAGGTGAGGAAACTCAGTGCCAGTAGTCACAGAGCATTCCTAAGAAGGATGCTTGGGATCCTGGAACATCCTCCTCCGAACTCGAACGATGAATATCCAAAACGCAACAGTCTAAAAAGGCATCCTTGTCCAGAGAGGGGACTCACTCACTACTCCCCACCACCGCCCCCAGGGGKGGAAGCAAAAGTCAAATGGCCCCTAGCTAAAGTGCCAGTATTCACTGTGGTTGAAACGTTGGGACACAGCACTTAACCAAGCAGACCCTTCTTAGTCTTTTTTCTTTTTCCTGTCAGACTTCCTTCTTTCCCCCAACTTCTCAGCCTCTTGTCAAGAATACTTCTATCCACGATTCACACAGACCCAGATCAGCAATCAATTTTGGGACCCTCTCCTCCCCAGAGGGTTCTCTCACTGGTTCTTCACTATTAACTTCTTTCCAGTTACCCGTCCTTTCCAAGCCCTCTGCTACCTTCTGTTTTCAGTGGCCTGCCTGGCWACCTACTCTGCCCTTCTCTGCACTTGCATCCGTCTGCCATATCTACAGGTTAATGCCTCTAGAACACCACAGGGGCAGTCAACTTCTTGCTCCAGAAATTCTTTCAGGCATTTTGCCAGAGAAAATTCTAAATTCCTTAAAAACTCTACTATTCGAAACCATGCAACAACTGGTCCATCCCATATTACCCATTCGTCAGAGCCTCAGATCCTGGCACTCTGTCAGAGAATCCTCTCCTGCCCATAGAAGGGCCCATGCCTTTATTCACGTGGGAGTTGCTGGTGCTCTTTCCAGAACATCTCCCATGGCCAAATCCTACTTGTCTTCATTGAAAATGAAGTTTGCAGCACTGCATTTCTACCCTAAAAGGATGTATGTGTTCTTCCCATTTGCAAAAATCACACTCTCAAGTTAACAGGGCTTATGGGGCAAATAGGGTTAGGAAWAAATTACTCAAAATCTATGTAACATTGCAACCAGAGCATTAACAAAAACAGCATCCATTCCAAAACACATAGTAGCGGAGTTTATGAGCCATGTTAAATTCCTAATAAATATTACAGTAAATATAAGTATAGGGCTTTACCTTTATAAAGTGATGAAGGTAACTGTTGAAGAGATTGTAAGGAGATTGTAAGTTTGAGGTTGCTGAGTGGGGAATAAAAACCCAAAATCAATAAAAGGAAAACCCTCTGCTCTGCACCCTCTTCCCATAAATCCTCCCAAGTTGGAACTCATGACCAAACCAATTCAATAGAGAACATAGAACAAATGGGCATCAGACCCAGCACCATGTGTTCTCCACATCTCAATGCATTCCGCACTGTTTTGCAGCTGCTGTTACTTGGTGGTGCAATATATTATAGTACTGGGAACACTTGCATATGAATGAACACAACWACCCCCATTTCACTAGAATCCTTTCCTTCTATATTATAGGTCATGGATGAGTTAATCTGTGTTATGAATGCTCTCATTACAGAAACACCCTTGTAAGAGAAGACCATACTTAATTCTAAGCTTACAGAGTAGACTGTACTGCATTCCACACATTTATTGAGCACTTAACTACAGTATATGCCAGGGACTTTTGTAGGCACCGGTGAGGCATCAGTGAAGAAAAAGAAATGTGGGTTCTTGAACACAGCATCACTAGATGTTTGTATCATTTGGTGGTATTATATGTTTCTGTGATTTCAGCTGTTGGGGCTACCATCAAAGCAAGATAGGATAAATTGTATCTGAATTATATCTGAATGATAGGTAAATTTTACTTAACAGGAGGCAACAAATTAGGAAAGAGGAAGACTGGAGAAAGAAAGAGATGCTAAAAGATACAGTTTAAAAAGAAAGTACTTGCTAAGTTCAGTGGAAAGGTATCACCAGAGAAAGAAGGAACTTTGGAATATTATGTATGCTACTTTTACTCTGTGCCTCAATCTAATTTTCAAGAAACACTGTGAGGCATAAGTGAGGAGGAAATTAAAGGGTGTCTGCAGAATTTGGTCAAATGACAAGGAGGCCTTGGAAGAAAATGAGTATGAGCCACTTGGATAGGTCATAAGGTAAAATTACAGTGGTGCCTGACTAAAATGTATGATTCTGATCTGACTTGCTGGTGCAGATCACTCTGTTCTCTGAACATCTGGACATTATGCCYCTCCCCCATGAGCAGGGTTAGATATTTTTCATGTGTGAACTCCTTGTTTCCTATTCTTTCTGAAAGTGAATCAGCTTGGTATTTAAATAAAATATACATTCATAGCAGAAAAGCGGTTTATATTTTTTGTGATTGTCAGTATATTGAATATTAATTAGCTTAAGTTTGGCTATTCATCTTCATAAAAATCTATTTCTCAAATCTACCCCCCCMCACACACACACTGAGAGATATTTCCTAAAACTGTATATGATCATAGAATTTCAGTGCTAGGGGCTGYGGTTGTAGTTCAGTAGAAGAACACTTGCCTAGCATGTGAGGGTTTGATCCTCAACACCACATAAAAATAAATAAATTAAAGGTATTATGTCCATCTACAACTAAAATTTTTTTAAGAACTTCAATACTAAACACAAATTTGGAAATCAAATTGAATATTACTTTTTGACTATTACATGAAAACTAGATGATTTAAGCTAAGAATCTCTTCAAGGAAGCTAGCTGAATTTACAATTCACCAACAGGGGCTGTGAAAAGTCACTGACTTAAAAATGATATTTCTTCTGCTTTTTTTTTTTTTTTTTTTTTTTTGGTCCCTGAATGTAAGAATCTGTCATTTTCTTCTACCAAAAAAAAAAAAAAATGTTGACAAAAGGCAATTTTGAGCACAAAGATTTGAAGTACTGTACTGAATAAAATCAGTACTCTGGCCTCTGTGAGATAGAAGCCACCTTTTTGGCCCCAGAAATGAGCCTGTCAAGTCACCAATAAATAGACTTGGAAATATCATACCTTCATTTCTGTTTCCAAGGGGCAATTTTTAACTCAAGGATAAAAAGTGAAATTGGTAAATACAAAAGAAAGTGCCCTATTTTTACTGAAATCCCATTATCAAGGTACTTCTGTTTGTTGAATGAGGCTGACAAAATGTCTCCAGCTGAGAATGAGTATCATAAGTGTAATAGGCAGGGGGCTATTCCAGTACCACATCACAGGGAGGGAGCAAGTCAGGCACCCAGACATCTCAATGATCTGCAGAAGACTCCTTTTTCCCTCATGGATGTTAAGGACACTGTCCACATTCCAGCCCAGCCAAAGAAAATATGGCCCTCAAAATACTCACCATAGCTAAATCATAAAAGAAATAAACGAATAGAACTTTGGGCATTTGCACTCTTCCTGTAAAAAATGGAAAACAGCTGTTTTCATCTTCCAACCACAGTCTCTCCCTCCTGGCCCACTCTTCTTCAATACATGAAAYAGAAGTTTTAGTTTGTCCACCAACTATTCCTAAAAAATAAAGTCTGTGTTCCTACTCCTAATTCCCAAACTAGACTCCATGTGACTCAAGCAAAACTCAACTTAAGAAAGTGCTCCATTCATTGCTCCTAATGTCACCACTACTTTAACAGATCCACAGGCCCTCATCTATTAAGCTTACCCTTGAATTGAAGTAGAAATTTCCATACAATGAGAATATTTTACCACAATATTGCTCTATAAGTTGTATATAACATTCTTAGCTGTCCAATAACATCTTTTTTAAAAAAAATTTTTTTAGTTGTAAATGAACACACTACCTTTATTTTATTTGTTTTATTTTTTATTTTTATTTGGTGCCAGGGTTCGAACCTGGCATGCACTCTACCWCTGAGCCACAACACCGGCCCTGCTGTCGAATAACATCCAATGAGCAAATTCAATTAACCAACTTGTTTTTCATGCTGAATCTTCTCCCACAGACATTTTTCCTGTATTGCAAACTTGTTTTCTCAGAAGAGGTAGAAAACATAAAGAAGTTTGGAAAAATTTGTTGTTTTACAGTATTCATGACAGGCATAAAACCATGTAGACAAAGTGTCCTTTGTCCCGTGTAACCACAGCGCTATGAATCTGGTCTGTGATGTACATTTTCAAAAGCATTATCTTTGCTATTATAAATTATGTTTTGCTTTCAGAACCCCTAAGAGAGAAGGTTTTACTCTTACCCTCATTAAAAATACTCATTATGATTCAATAGCAACACCAAAATAAAAACTTGTGGAAACTACTGCTGTTTGTATTTATACTGTGAAGAGAATACTTGTCCTTAATCTGGCCCACAATTTAAAAA